GAGCTTGTTCAGAGGGAGTTGTCTTCTTCTTTTTTTTTAATGGGTTCTTGCAACCTGCAGTTCAGCCCCAGGGTTTCTGCTGGGTTCATTTGGAATATTCTACTGTAATGCGAAGCGACACTCATAGTGGAACATTTTAAAAATGAGCCTTTGGGTCTTTTTCATATCTCATCAATCATCCCCACAGCTGAGCTAACGAAACGATAACAGCAGATGAGCATATTTATCAGGGGTGATGGCGAAACCATTAGCTCTAAGCTCTCACGCGTTGTCTGGTTTTGATCATGGAAGCTTGGTTGAAATGTCAACACTCTACATGCAGCAAGTTTCATGTTTAGTTTGAGAATGATGTGATTAATTTATTCCAAGGGGGAGCATTATATGAATCATTTCAGGCGGGGAACATTCTCGTCCTGCCTTTAGCATCGTTGGGAGCAGTTATTTGAACGTACCTTGTGGATTTATAGGTTTTGCTGCTCCATGTCTCCTGGGTTGAGCTGTGGTGGTGGTGTGGTTAGAATGCAGTATTGCAGACTGACTTTGCCCACTGCCAGGAGTTCGATCCTGACCGGCTCAGGGTTGACTCAGCCTTCCATCCTTCTGAGGTGGGTAAATGAGGATCCAAATTGTTGGGAGGCTGTTAGAGAGGGCTGTAAAAGAACTGTGAAGTGGTATATAAGTCTATGTGCTATTGCTATTCTAGTTTTGCATCTTGTGTGAATTTAGTCTATTGGGTTTAATGCATCCTGCAAACTGGATTAACGGTTAATTTAATAATTAGGAAGCATATTGGTCATGAAGTGTGGGAGACGGTGTAGCATGGAGGTTAAGCTGTTGCATTGGGATTGGAGATCCAGGTTTAGGTTTCAAAAGCCGTGATGGCCCAGTGGTTAGAATGCAGTACTGTACTGCAGGCTGTTTCTGCTGACTGCCGCTGCCTGCAATTTGGCAGTTCAAATCCCATCAGGCTCAAGGTGGACTCAGCCTTCCCTCCTTCCGAGGTGGGTAAAATGAGGATCCAGATTATTAGGAGGCAATATGCTGATTCTGTAAATCGCTTAGAGAGGGATGAAAAGCACTATGAAATGGTATATGTCTAAGTGCTATTATTTCTATGACTTCCCAAGAAAAGTTTTTGGGTGGGATTCTGTCTGAACTATGCAGCGGGCAAAAAACACCCTTAGGAATACATTAATTCATTTAATAACCACAGTGTTCATTGAACAATCATCACCAAAAAAGTAGTGAATTTAAGTCCAGTCACCCAGGTGCCTTGACTTATAACTGTCATGACGTAGGATGGAAATTTGGGCCTCCATAATGGCCATAAATTGATTACTACCTGTATCAAATGTCCACATAAAATTGAATTATGCTGTTAGGATTCAATAGCAAGTCTTACGACCCAAGGTTTAAAGTTTTAAGGGTGGACACTTCTCAACACAACCATTCTGTGTTCAAAATGCTCTAATTTGAATTGAAAACGGAGTATTTTGTGTCCAGACTGGACTGTTTGGACTATCAGGGAAATGCCTAAAATTTAAAATCAAGGATTTTTTTTTTTTAGCTCTGTATCCAGAATCATCAAAATAGCCTGTTTCAGCCCCTTTAGATTTGCAATTGGTTGAAACGGAAATATTTTGCACGTGGCTACATCTCAACGGCCAAGGGAGAAAGCAGCCTAGTATTTTCATTATCACTTGCACCTGAAAGCCAGGTAGAAATCCAATGTGCTTTTCTTCTTGGGATGCTGTTATTTCACTCAAACAGCTGGGAGCACAATCCTTGGACCACTTGCTCAGTTTCGTGCGGAGGAGGAATTCAGAGGAGAAGTTTTGTCTGTGTGGAAGAAACCATGCATGGAGAGATATTGCAAGTAGACGAGTGGAAATGTATGTATGCTCCTAAACCCAGAGTCATGCAAGGTTGCAACCTGTACGATTGCCCTAAATGGATAGCTCTGGAATGGTCCCAGGTAAGGAAGAAGAACGTTTAAATTTCTTTGAGACAAAAAGAACCAAAATGTTCAGGTGTTGGTAGGGATGATTGATGGCCCATTGTCTGAAAACGTCCTTGCAGAGAAGGTATATTTGGGTGTAACATAACACAGGTGGGACACCTGTGGCAAGCTGAGCTTGTGGATCAGAAAAGTCAGCAGTTCCGCGGTTCAAATCCCTAGCGCTGCGTAATGGAGAGAGCTCCCGTTACTTGTCCCAGCTTCTGCCAACCTAGCAGTTCGAAAGCATGTAAAAAAATCCAAGGAGAAAAATCGGGACCCCCTTTGGTGAGAAGGTAACAGTGCTCTGTGCTCACTTCGGCATTGAGTCATGCCGGCCACATGACCACGGAGACATCTTCGGACAGCACTGGCTCTTCGGCTTTGTAACGGAGATGAGCACCGCCCCCTAGAGTCAGGAATGACTAGCACATGCTAGCACAGCTGGGGTGAGTAACGGGAGCTCATGCCATTACACAGCGCTAGGGATCTGAACAACAAGCTCAGCCCCAAAAAAACTTTTCCAAACTGCAACTTAATGTATGGCCCTTTGCTCCTAACAGTTGTTGGGAATCGGGCAATATTTTAAAACCAGTTTAAAATACCCAGCTGTTGTAGGAGAAGAGCAGGCAGACCTGGGGTGGTGGTGGAGTTAAGTGCATCATCAGTCTAGAATTTTATATTGCCACAAACAGTCCAAGTCAACTTCCCTTGGACCCTGTTGGTCCTTACCTGGCATCAATTTAGTACTGAACTTTACTTGATTGTGTATAGGCTAAACTTTCCGAACTGCAACTTAGTGTATGGCCCTGACCCTTTGCTCCTAGCAGCTGTTGCTGGGAAGCTAGCAGTCTTGATGGTGGTTGACCAAGTTAGGTCTTGCAGAAGGAAGATTGTAATTTCTTGATCAGAAAGATGGGGAAAAGGTTTTTGATGATCAGGTTGAGGAGTACCAGGACATCATGGACGGTACAAAGGGCAGCATAGCAATCCTGCGATTTTTGTTAGCCACTTTAGTTTTTGACTGTTCTGTCCCTTTCTACAGTGCACTGTGACCTGTGGCCGAGGGTTACGCTACCGAGTAGTTCTGTGTATCGATCATCGTGGACAACATACCGGGGGTTGCAATCCTCAACTAAAACTCCACATAAAGGAAGAGTGTCTAGTGCCAGTCCCTTGTTATAAACCCAAAGGTAACTGGATTAACATGATCAATGACATTGATTGACTGTATCAAATGTATATAACTGCAAACAGGTAAAGAGAAAACAAAACTCCATAATAGATTGTCATCACTACGGTTAACTCCAACTCCAATCTGACCAAGGAATTATGTCTTCTGTATGATGGCCTTTGGAATGAAGAGCTTTTATCTTAAGTTGTTCTGCTTAATTGTTCTAAGGAGAAATTTCCTGACAGTTAGAACAATTAACCAGTGGGACAACTTGCCTCCAGAGGTTGTGGGTGCTCCAACACTGGAAGTTTTGAAGAAGATGTTGGATAGCCATTTGTCTGAAATGGTGTAGGGTTTCCTGCCTAGGCAGGGGGTTGGACTAGAAGACCTCCAAGGTCCCTTTCAACTCTGTTATTCTGTTCTGTTCTAGTCTAGTCTAGTCTTCTATTCTATTCTATTCTATTCTATTCTATTCTATTCTATTCTATTCTATTCTATTCTATTCTATATTCTATTCTATTCTATTCTCTAGTCTAGTCTAGTCTATTCTCCTATTCTATTCTATTCTATTCTATTCTATTCTATAGTCTAGTCTATTCTCCTATTCTATTCTATTCTATTCTATTCTATTCTATAGTCTAGTCTATTCTCCTATACTGTTCTATTCTATTCTATTCTATTCTATTCTATTCTATTCTATTCTATAGTCTAGTCTATCCTCCTATTCTGTTCTATTCTGTTCTATTCTATTCTATTCTATTCTCTAGTCTATTCTATTCTATTCTATTCTTCTATTCTGTTCTGTTCTATTCTATTCTATTCTAGTCTAGTCCACTCCATACGTCACTGAATGAAACAACCTCATCCTTTCACACATTTTCTTTCTGTAGACATTGCAAGGCCAACACTAGCCTTTTGTCCCTTGCATCATCTTTGTACTCTTCTGAGGGTTGACCAACATGCATGCATTTCCTCTTCCAGAGAAAGGCCCTGTTGAGGCCAGAGTGCCTTGGTTCAAGCAAGCCCATGAAATGGAAGAGACCAGGACCGTGTCTGAAGAACCCACGTGAGTTTGCTTTCTTTTTCTCCCCTCCCCCTGATTTGGAAACTAAACCCCTGGTGCATTTTCCTCACTGTTGGTAAAGTTTGCTATTTCCTACCAAATCATCTGGCATTTGAATGTTCTTGGGGTGAGTCTGACATTGCAGCTGAAGTCTCAGATTTTTCCCAGCAGAATTTGTCAATTAAGGCAAAACAACAACAACAACAACAACAACAACAACATGGCAGCCAAAATGTGTTTGAATTATTCATTTCAAAAATGTCACAATGGCTTCCCGGCCGTTCGAAGAATTTACGTGCCAAAAGCATTTTGCATGGATGATTTATGTTCCAGAATAGCTCTTGAAAGATTGAGCAGTGAACTTTTCATGAAGAGGGAAGAGCAGAGAAGAATGATAGTGATGCCTATATGGAAATCTCTGGAGATCCCATCCATCCATCCATTCACTCATCCACCCATCCACCTCCTTCCTTCCTTCTCTCCTTCTCTGCCTCCGCTTGAAATAATTGATTGAAAACTTCAGTAACTCTGTTACTGAAGATTGAAGAATTCAGTAACTCTGTACTAACATCCTTTGATAAATTTATTGCTATTGATGACTTGTGGACTCCAACTCCCAGAATTCCTGAACCAGCAATTTTTTGGCTGGCTCAGGAATTCTGGGAGTTGAAGTCCACAAGTCATCAAGAAGTCAGAGTTCTCTGTCTCTGGCTTAAGTCAATCAAGTACAGAAACTACATATCTAGGGGATTGTAGGGAATAGATATGAAGGAAGGATTCAAACCAAGATATGGCAATTGCCAGAAAGCTGTCTTCGTCTAAATATTAAGAGAACCTTAAAGCTGTTTGATGTTTTTATGAAAGTTCTCCTTGGCTTGGAGATATTTAAGCATTCTCTTATTTAGATCCTTCATGGAATTGAAGTAGATAATGGCTTAAAGACAGGCTGAGCTTTCCTTCTGCACTTCTCTCTGTCTAACTTCCCTTGTTTTGCAATTGATCTGCAACATCGCAAGATCCACAATGAATCCTCTTCTAGGATTGGATTCCATAACTTATTGAATTAAGGATGTTAAAAGGATAAGCGGTTTAATGATGAAAGGGCAGGAATTTGTTCTGTTTCCAGGGCATCAAAGCCAGTTTCTGTTTCATAGCTTTTCATCCGAGTTGTCTGTGGTTTTATCAGTTGTAGCTTTAGAACCATCTAAATGCAGCAATATTGGAAAACTCATAAAGGAAAGATGTGCCAAGATAATATATGAAAGTTAAATCCTTCTGGCCCTGGAGATTGGTAAATGTGCCCACGCATGTGTCCTGAATTTCATATAATGGATGTTTTAAAGTCTTTTAAAAATTATTTAAATTAGAAAAGTAGCCAGTTTTTTTCTCTCCTCATTTTGAATTCTGTTTGTAAAGCTAAGCCAAGGAAAATGGAGGTTTAACCTTTCTGGTTTTTGCTAGTAGAATGTGATGATAGTTGAAACCATCATTATTGTAAACTTTCCTCTCTTGAGCCTTTTTTTTATTTACAGCAGGTTTTTCAATAATCCTTTATATATAAAAAAGATTCCATGCATCCTTTTTTTTCTCTTTTAATAAAGCTTAAATAAATAGAGATCTTGGCTGCATCTTGAAAGAGGCCAAGGGTAGGAGCTGATGGACTTGTGATGAAGGGAAGGAAGAGGAAGCGATAGGGTTTCCAGATTTCATTTAGCCGGTTCAAATGTTTTCATTCATAGGTTCACATCTGTAGATTCACATCTGAAGATTTTCACCAGATGTTAGCTACCAATGAGTGATAATATGTGTGGTAGAATGGTCACATACCTGGGCTTATGCCTACACCCAGTAATGAAGATTCATTGAGGTTAACTAGAAGACGTCTCCAGGATCTGTCTCACCCTTATCCATGACTAGAAGCAAGTCCTGAGTTTCAATTAATATTTAATTAATGCTGTGGCATATCCAGATATATAATATTCCAGTTTTTTTTTTTAAAAAAACACTTTTCTTCCCCAGTGAAATAGATCTGTTTTTTCACTCTCTTGGTCATGGTCCTGAGCTACCTAACTTCTTGGAAGTGATGGAAGTTGTACATCTGTTACACTGCCCCCCTCCCCAATTTCTTTGAAACCTCTTCAGATGCCACACCCCCAGTCTAAATAGGTCTTTTGTGAGTTCCATGCTCATATCTTCTCACAGGTTTTAATGAAAGTAAGGGAAGCCAAGGAAGTGGATGGCCATTGAACTAGAAATTCAAGTATTCTCTTGAATTATACTTTTTAACTTTAGCAAGGTTGCTGCATCAGATGCCTTCAGGCCATGATTTGGTTTTTAGATGGCATCAAAAATGCCCGCATGGACCATTTATTGTGTGCTGAGTATTGAGGGCAACAGTAAGTTTTTTCTCTCTGCCCTGTGAACATTTTTCTCTGCCTAGGTGCAGAAATGGCCATGCAGTGTGTCAGGGTTCCAAATAGCATCCAAAATTAAATCAGAGTCCAAGGCAAAGTATTGCTCAAAGTTCCAATTTACTAAGAGAGCCATGTTGGCACATCTGGGAAAATCCGAATCTGAAAGCTTCCATGTTTTCCCCACCTAGTTGAACGTTCAAGATCTTGTCCCCACACCCACAAGTCCATCACATGGTCCAATCTCCCACTGCCATGCTGGCAGTTCCACCAATCCAGTTCTGATCGGGTGCAGAGGTGCAAAGACAAAGGATGACCTTGGCTTTCTAGAAAGAATTTTGTTATGGCTACGTATCATCTAACTCAGTGTTTCTCAACCTTGGCGACTTTAAGTCCTGTGGACTTCAACTCCCA